TACAAATGGTTGGCTGGCTAGTCTGAAGGGAAACCAGCACAATAAGACACTTCGCATAGCATTTCTCACTCCCTTTTTTGTTTCTGGCATGGCCACCATAGCCTGCAATATGCTGCAGTGCCCTGAATTTATTGGGCCAATAACATTTTGGAACAGCCTTGTTATACGGAATTGAATTAACATCCATCATCCACACACCTATGGACTGTGAGGCTCCCAGAGCTTTTTACTGCAGCCATTTCCTTTAGCGCTTGCCCACTTTTGGCGAGATATCGTGTCTTTTAATCTTATTTCCTTTCCCGACTGTTACGATGGTATTGGCATTTGGATTATTGTGTGACTTAACAGGTCTCGGCTTTGCCTAATTTGCCCGTGTTTTTTAGGAACTGAATTTCTTTTATCGTTACCTGCCTGAGCTTATTTAAATAGTCGTGGCAGCTGAGTGGCTCTCCATCTCTAGTTCGTACCTGGATTGAGGCTGAACAAAGAACACTGGAAACTGCCTGAATCAGTGATCCATCTGGCAGGCAGGAGTCTCTCCCAACCCTAATTGGAAATGGCAGGAATTGAACCCAGAACATTGTGCATGTGAAGCAGATGCACTCCCACTGACCTATAGCTCTTCTGTACAGCTGAATACAGAAGACCATTTACTGAATGCTAAATTACATCATCATCATCATCATCATCATCATCATTATCATCCCTTGGGTTGCCCCAGACACTCTCGGCAGCTTCAAACATATATTAAAAGATAACAAAACATTAAACATTAAAGAAGCTTCCCTATACAAGACTGCTTTCAGATGGCTTGGTGATCGGATAACTCCATACCCTCCAACATTTCTCTGATTAAAATAGGGGTGTAACATCAAACATTAAAAACTTCCTGATATAAGGATGTCTTCAGGTGTCTTCTAAAAGTTGTGTAGTTAAAGATCACCGTGACATCTGATGTGAAGGCGTTCCACAAGGAAATCCCTATTGTTTACCCCAACCTTAGGTAGGATACTAGTTTTCAAACTGTGTTCTGGGAAACATTGGGGCTCCCCAGAAACAGCTTGTTGTTATATTTCTATGACACTTTTTACTTACATGAGTCACAAAGTGGCTTACATACAATAAATAATAACATAGCAATGGTAAAGGTAAAGGTACCCCTGACCGTTAGGTCCAGTCGTGGAAGACTCTGGGGTTGCGGCGCTCATCTTGCTTTATAGGCCAAGGGAGCCAGTGTTTGTCCACGGATAGCTTCTGGGTCATGTGGCCAGCATGACTAAGCCACTTCTGGTGAACCAGAGCAGCGCACAGAAACACTGTTTACCTTTCTGCCGAAGTGGTACCTATATATCTACTTGCACTTTGACGTGTTTTTGAATTGCTAGGTTGGCAGGAGCAGGGACTGAGTAACGGGAGCTCACCCCGTCGCGGGGATTCAAACCGCTGACCTTCCGATCGGCAAGCCCTAGGCTCAGTGGTTTAGACCACAGCACCACCCGTGTCCCTATAATAACATAGTAGAACATCACAATTACAACATAAATCATATAAAATAATTAACAAGTCATCTGTAAAACAGCCACCTTCTATAAAGCACTATTAACAGAACAACTTAAAAATAGGGTAAACAGCACAACCACAAGAAAAGTTGTATTACAAACTTCACAAAGCCTTACAGCATTCATAATCCACAAAACAATATTAACATCACCAACAAACTAACAACCAAAATCAAACTAAGCACTGTTGAATTCACACACACTCACACTTATTAGGGGTTTCAAACACCAATCTGAGTCTATCCAGGGACAGATGTTGTTTTATCTATTTGACTCTCCACATTATATTCAAATTATAATTTTTCATCTGATTTTTTGACAAATTCCAGGTACATATCCAGGAATTTCACTTGCTCAACAATCTCTTAAGAAGTCTCAGACTCCTATACACATCCATTCAAAACCTGGGCTAAATCTCCCACAACAAATTTAACCCAAAGCCTTTTTGCTTAATTTCCCCTTTTCCTCACTTTAGCTCCACCATCTGAGAACATAAGTCTCACAGATTAGAAAATATTGCTCTGTACTGCTGCTTCCTGACAAGATTTTGCCTCCACAAATTAACCTTTGCAAGCTTCATTACTTTTCTGTCAACTTCCCAACTACTGACATAATCAGATGTCTGAGGGCTCAATGGTGTCTTAAAGAAACACAAATGCAATAGCACAAACTGCTGTGCTTGTGAGAGCTCTCCCAGATATATCGGCATCAGCAGAATAATTGGTAGCCATTTGTCCATTGTCGACTTTTGGGAAAGGGAGTCACTTGGGCCGCCATCTTAAGCTTATTATGACGCCTTGATCTTGTGTGGAAGGGGTCAGTTAAGATGATAATTTGGTCAGGGCCTCCAGTTCAAGAGGTAGTCAATACTTGAGATGAGCTGTATGTCTGAAATCCAGAAAGCTTTATCCTGAAGAAGCGGATCAGTAGCAGAGGATCAAGTATGCAAGCGCTCTTGTAGAACAACAAATAGGAAGATCAGTGACTAGAATAAGGTTAGCAGATGCCCAAATAATTCTAATAGTTCAGACCAGAGAGATGACTCAGGAATTTGCTTAGAAGGACAAACCTCCAATATTCATTCCAATACCGCTTGCAAACCCCAAAATGGTTGCCATTGGAAAGTCCTGTACCGTAGTGTCCAAGCTGATATATTTTAATGTCCATATATATTTCATAATGCTGTATCTATTTGTCACTGTGCTTTGCTTTGCTTCTTCCATTTCTGTTATTTGTTTCTGGCTCCTGAGGTGAAAAGGAAGCTGTGGTTTACATGCACAAAGTTGTATAAACCTAATCACAATTTGAAAACATGGGAATTGGAAATCTAAGGTCCATGAACCAGGTATGGCTGACCATGTTTCTCCCCACAGAAAAGGTTTCTTCTAGAAAAACCTGTCCCTGAGTTGGGCATAACTGGGAACTCCACGAGTCTGCCTGAGCCGGAGAAAGATTGGTGGAGCATGTTCTATGGGCATTAAGATACCTGATCCAGTGCCAAGAACGAAATACCGTACTGATTTAAATTATTCCCCTCCATTTATACACAGGGGGGTGGACTGAAGCTATCTATTCCAAACATGTCTTCACCCAGAAAATGAGGGCTATATTAAAATGGCAGAAAGGACCTTTGTTTACAGAATCTATTCAACATACAGTATAGAGGATTGACGCCAAAGATGGTGGATGTTTGTTATAAGAAAAACAGGCTGGAGAGCTCTTCAGATTTTAATGGCCCATTGCATTAGGGTTAGGGAAAGTCTAATTGAAAGGATTATATTTTGCATCAAGATGGATTAAGAAACCCACTATGGTCCACAGGAGACGAGGGAGAGTTACTCCATCTGACGAAGATAAGCTGTAAGGGTGAGAGAAGAACGACTTTTCAGGCTTTTCCTTGCCTTCAATTTCTCTGCTATTTAACTTTTAGATTAACCTTTCCCCTTTCCAGGGCTCCAACCATCCACAGGTGACGGCTGCTATCCTAATGCTGCTGCTGCCTCAAAGGAGAATTTACTCAACCTCTCTCCCCTGTTAAAGCTCTTTCTTACAGTCTTAAGTTGCTTATGAGAGAGCAGTTTCAGACTTGACAGCCGTTGTCGCAGAGTGATGAGGACACCTGAATTCGTCTAAAGCATTGCCCTGTCCATAAAACATGTTTTGCCTCTCCTCTGCCTGAAGTATATCCCTCTCAGCCTTCAGTTGGATCTGCTGTGGCTGTGAACAGCAACTCAGTTCAGGAAGACAAAAGGGACAGTATTGTTATGAGTCTGCAGTGGGTGGAAGTAGGCTTTATGCCCAAACCTGTGTAACTCTTGGCTCCAGCAAGTGTTAAAATATAAGCGAGGCTAGCTTCCTGATGAGGTGATCGCCTGGGTGATGGGCCATTTGTCAGGCTTCAGGGAATCAACTTCCTTCCCCCCTTTGACAGTAGATAAGCAGAACAAAGGAAAATGAGTCTTCTTACCAGTTAGAAACTTTAATGATCACAGCAAGAGAAGAATCAATTTCCTAGAATGGTGGTGCTCCCAATTAAGGGTTCCACCCACTTCCTCCCTAGTCACCCACATCACTACTGCGTCTGGCAACCTGAGCTCATAACCACTGCGCTTTCTGTGCTGCCACCTTATCAGCTCTTCTTGACCTTGGGCTGAGCGGATGAATGCCTTCCAGCGACAGTGAGTCTGTCAACTCTCTTTCCCAGTTCTTTTCCTCCTAGGTGTTCACCACCCAGTACTTCCCAGCTTCTGCCTTCTGAACTATGTCCCTCTGCAAACCACTGTTCCAAATCTATACTGTCCTCCTGCTCCTGGGAAGATTCAGGATCCTGATCAGGAGCCAGAGAAGGCTCCTTCCATTCCTCCTCAGTGCAGCCCTCCTCAGCTCGGTCCCTGACACCATTTAGGAGAACAAAGGAAAGGGGCTCTAGGTGAGGTGGCAAAAGGGTGGGGCCCTCAACTTATGAATCATTAGAAGGACAAAGTTAGAGCTGGGAGTTGAGGGGTGCAGTGATGTGAGCTAGAGGGGATTATTCAGTCGTTTTTGTTTTGATTATGTATTTTGTGTTTTATATTGTGAACTGCCCTGAGACTTGCAGGCATAGGGCAGTATACAAATTTAAATATCCTCTGCAGTGAATGGAGTTGATTGATAGCGGTGGGTAAACTGTCATTCAGTCCAATACAAACTTCCAAGAACTCTGGAGCAGAATTTGAAAACCACTGATTTAATAAAATGCCACATTGCTAAATCCAGTATGTTTCTGGAAATTATGGTGAGTAGAAAACAAGCAACAAATTATGGCTTTCCCTTTGAAAGTAGAAGCATGTTGGCTATGTGAGATTAGCAGTGAAAATGGTCAGCTGGTTCCTGATTAATGCGGACACCTCCCTTGCTGGGTGGCAAAATAGGTCAACAGAGCTTTCTTTCCACAGTTGCCTCGAGTAAATGGAAATGTCCGTATCCAATTCTGCAGGAGAGGGCGCATGCATTCGCATGTACACCCACTCAGCCCTTTCTTTACATAGATCCATATTTGCAAAGACTCCTCCTTTAGCGGGAAGGGGGGAAATTCCTTCTTTGTAAACCTGGCACCAGCCTTTACCAGCTTCTGCTTTCAGTGGCTCAGCTTAGCAGCGACGGAAAACAGCAGAACCACCAAGTTCAGCTCGCCCGGGCAAGGCAAGGTCAGTCAATTAAAGGAGAGGAGGGGGTGAGTCGGCAGGGTGAAGAGAGGAGAGCAGGTGGGGAAGTGCAGAGTGACCAGAGCCCTAAGAACGGTGGCTCAGTTTCTAATGGCAACCATCTCAAAGGCTTTTGTCTTTGTGCCCTGCTTCGTAATTAAGTGTTAAATAGAAGTACGGCTCCGTCAGCAGAGCTTCCTTCCTGATAAAAAAAAAAACCCTTGGCTTATATTCATCTTCTGGCCTGACAGCTTATTAGAGAACTGCAGTTGGAAGATTCTGCATACTTGGGAACAGAGGAAGAGATCAAGAGATTATTCTAAAATCCCAGATTGGTCAGTGTCCAATATTGCAATGGAGACACAGCACGTGTGTGTGTGTGTGTGTGTGTGTGTGTGTGTGTGCAGGTAAACCATTTTGAGGCATCTAAATTTTATTAAATAAAACAGGCACTTGTAAGATTGTTAAATCAAACGTCGGACATTTAGGTGCGCTGTGCAGGTCAATAGGCCCTGACCTGTTTTATGAATGAACGAAAATTCGGCAACACATTCACAAACCTTAATCCGATTGACAGCCATTCTTATTACATGTCTTTAAAAAACATGGAAATGCATGGATCTGTTTTGAACATATATGAAATTAAACTGGGGTTGTCAGTAATCATGTGGGACTGTCAACAGCCACCAGAATCTGGACACTCGCTACACGCATGCATAAAAATATCCTCGAGCATTTATGCAACATTTAAGAAGGTTCAGGGCAGTTCTTTGTTTATGATGTGCTCTGCACAATCTCATCCATTGTATAAATGGCCAGTGATGTTTGCACATGACTGCAACTAGTAAGAAAGATCAGCAATAGACTGCAGATTGAGAAATAATGTCTAAGAGAAGACTATTGTGCCTAACAGCCGAGCAACATGTTACATTTAAGGTGCCATCGCATTTAACATACATTTTTGTTTTTGGAAATGGCACCCACATGGGGAACCAATCAGGTCTGGAGCCACAGGGCACTGGGAGGGGTGATCAATCTATCCCCCGCCATGCTAATGTCTGACAAAAATTAACCTGCTGTTGGCGCCGATATTGGACAAGGTTCACCCAATGCTAATTGCGTCCCACTGCCATCACTTTGGAACATGTTGGAAGGCAGATCCCTCAAAGGCATGTAATGTACCATAGTTTGCCCATAAGGCTGCCTAAAGATTTGGCTCTTGGCAAAGATGAGATCTGAACTGTGGACTCCACAGCTTACAATTTCAGCAGCTACAATGAACTCCAGAATATACAAACTCTTCCTTTTCCCCACATTAATATGTTACTAAGTATGTTCCAAAGTTCACAGAGGATTCTTGCTGGGGCAGCTTTTTTCCAGTCCATTTCTTCCAAACGGAAGAACGGGGAAATTAAATGACAACTGACACATTCGTACTTGAAAGTTGCTGGTTATTATCAATAAAGCATAATGAGGGGGAAAGAGTCAGTTCCTGGGGGAGAGAAACGAACACAATAGCACAGTAATATCTGTGGCCAATTTGGCTGTGTGTGTATGAACAGCCAAAATAAATCTGTGTGCTGCATGTGTAAGGACCAGTACCCCAAATTCATGATCCTCTGTATGCCACTATCTTTTAAACATTTGCTTGGGCACCAAAGCTATGGCAGCCCCCGTTCGCTTCCAAAGCATGTGAAAGGGCCTTGCTGCAAGTGTGTCAGGGACTACCAGGGCTCTGACAAGTGTGTGTCAGAGGTAGGACACTAGGGGACTGACCCAGCAGAGGGGGCTAGTGATTTGGGGGGTTATCGGTGTTTCGCAACTTTGACCTGTTGCAGGACCTTAGCCAGACCTTAGCAGAGCATACGCAGAGTTCCAGAAAGCAATCAGTTGCAGGCAGGACGGACGAAGCAGGAACAAGATGCTGCTACTAGTAACTTGGTTACTTAGAGATGTTTATTATTTACAACAGACTCTACAAGTTACTATATACAAGAACAGATACGGATCTTAACTAGCTGTCTCTTATCAAACTCCAGACGACTCTCAGAACACCACACTGACCAACACACACTCCAGTCAGTAAGGTCATAAGTCATCATGCCTGTGTGAAACCTCAACCAAAGGTAGAGCTGTATCCAAGGTCTCAGATCTCCAGGCAGAATAACTCCTCTCTGCTCAGTCTTCTTGGCTTTCGGCCAACTCTTAATTGACTCTGTGTGAAGCTGCACAGAATGGCCCGTAGTCAAAATCCCAACAGGCACCACCTGCGAGGCAGGAGCCAGGGTGGGAAGGGGGCGGAGGAATGATCAGAGCTCTCAGAGGCAAAGGTGGGCATTCAGGATGTGTCGGAGGAAGAGGCTGTTCCAGAGAGGGACTGGCCAGTCAAATACCTGCCATCTCCCACCACAATGTCTCCTAGAACCAAGAGGGGTTTAAAGAGGGAAGAGCAGCGACAACTTCCATGTAGGAGAAGCCTGAGATTGTGCACGCCGAGGTCGCAAGAAGCAAGAAGCAGCAAGGTCTGGTCAGGAACGACAAATGGTGTTTCTAGCAACTGACTGAGTCTGGAAACCCTACTTTAAAAAGCTGGTTCTCATCAGGAGCAAGAAGGCTGATCAGCAGCAGGTGGAGTCACTTCGCTTTCTGCTCCTTCAGGCTGCTGCTCAGCAGGTAAAGCCGACCCCTGGCCCATGACACTCGTAAGCTGGGGGGCGGGTGGCACACTCCCACTGTTGTTGCAACTGCTCCGCAGGGTGCAGACCTGGGGACAGCATGTGTATCCAGGGCATCGTGGGAATTGCTGCCAAGTACGTCCTGTTCTCAACAAAGAATTGACTATCAGATGTGTGCCTTCCTCTGTTGGGGCTGCCTAGGACAAAGAGGGAGTCAGTAACTGAACATTGCAACATATAGAATGCCGGTCTTCATTCCCAGAATCCTCTGCAAGATGCTGGAATTCCATGGAAGATGTTCAATGGTGCAGACAAGAAAACACAGAGATTCTTGAAGGTAGAAAGGGTTGGGAGGTGGACGCTATTTTAATCCTTTTCCATAGTGACTCATCTGGCTAAAAGGAATCCTGATGTTAGCTGCATTAGCTTTCTAGAAGTTTGTGAAGAATTCTGGGGCATATTACCGTATTTTTCGCTCTATAAGACGCACCAGACCACAAGACGCACCTAGTTTTTGGAGGAGGAAAACAAGAAAAAAAAAATTCTGAATCTCAGAAGCCAGAACAGCAAGAGGAATCACTGCGCAGTGAAAGCAGCGATCCCTCTTGCTGTTCTGGCTTCTGGGATAGCCGCGCAGCCTGCATTCGCTCCATAAGACGCACACACATTTCCCCTTACTTTTTAGGAGGGAAAAAGTGAGTCTTATAGAGCAAAAAATACGGTATATGTTGCAGACTCAGTTCATATGGTGCACTGTCTTGAGTGGTCGTTGTACTGCTATTGTACATGAATTCAGAGTTCAAAAAGCCTGCCCCAGCCGCACTTTCCGCAGGAAGCAATGGGAGAGGTTAAGCTGCCTTTCAGAGATGCTTGTCCACCACCGTTGATCTTCTCGGTGAGGAATCCCTGATAAGCTTCTGAAGGGCCCCAGGAAAATCACTGATCAAAGCCAGACATTTAATCAGGAAGAAGCCGGCAAACTGAACAAATGGATAGAAGCAAAAGCACTAAAAGGAATACTTTCCCCCACATAAATACATCACAGTCATGTAATGTGCAAGGAAGTTTGCCTTTACCAGCAAAACATGTTTTGACAATCTTGTAATATCAGTAATCCATTTTAACAACTCTTCAGCCAACGCATCACCACTGCTTTTGGAAATCTAGGCATTGGAAGTAAACCATATATCTCTAAGGAAGAAGCACAATTTAAAGGAAAACCCTGCCTCTTTTTATATCTTCGCATCTGGAACGCAGATTTGAAATGTTTCTGTATTAGTGGTGAGAAATGAAATACTGCAATGAAGTGGCCAAACGACTAAGGGACATAAAGCAAAGGAAGAACGAGGAAGGATACAGATCAGAGAAGCCGTGATAAGAAAACATCACACAAAACGTTCCTGTGATTTTCTGCGTATCTCACAGCGGTAACCACAAATTTCAGAAAAGGCTACAATTCGAGGAAGTTAAGTCCCATTGAACTTGATGAGGCATGTATATAAGTATATAGGTTTAAGATAGGAGTGCAAAAAAATGTATTGTACAAAATGATTGCAAGACTTGTGATGGCTCATCATTCACAGTGATAGGCAGTGGAATCCAAGGCAAGTCTACTCAGCCAGAAATCTCACGGAAGTTTAATGGGCCTTATTCCCAGGTAAGCAAGCATTTGTTGTTGTTGTTTAGTCATTTAGTCATGTCCGACTCTTCGTGACCCCATGGACCAGAGCACGCCAGGCCCTCCTGTCTTCCACTGCCTCCTGCAGTTTGGTCAAACTCATGTTTGTATCTTTGAGAACACTGTCCAACCATCTCGTCCTCTGTCGTCCCCTTCTCCTTGTGCCCTCCATCTTTCCCAACATCAGGGTCTTTTCCAGGGAGTCTTCTCTTCTCATGAGATGGCCAAATTATTGGAGCCTCAGGGCTGATTTCCTTCAGAATGGATAGGTTTGATCTTCTTGCAGTCCATGGGACTCTCAAGAGTCTCCTCCAGCACCATAATTCAAAAGCGAGCATAGGAAAGCAATTATGTACAAACTTACATGGAAGTAAATCCCACTGCACTTACCTCTGAGTAGATATGTATAGGTTTGTGCTGCAAGAACACCAGATTAAGCGTTGATTGGCAACATGCAAAATACATCCCCCCTGCATTATGACTATTTTGAATTTTGGATGATTATACCAGGGATGGAGAACCTGCAGCTCCCCAGATATGGTTGAACTACAACTCCCAACATCCCTGATCACTGGCCATGCCAGCTGGGGCTGATGGGGAGCTGGAGTCCAGCAACAGCTTGAGGGCCTCAGGCTTCCTGTTCTTGGTTTGTACAGAGCCGTAAATCATATACATGGTGTGTTATAGGGAAACATAATCACAAGATATGGGCCCCTGCCCAACAGAGCTTACAATTTAAAATCGGGTGATGGGGAAGTCAACAGGGGGAGGAGTGGAAGGAAATGAGCAAATCTAGTTATATCTTGGTTTTGCTTTGGTTGGAGGAGGCGGTAGGCCAAATAATTCACAGAAAACACTGTCTGTGAGGAGGAAATTGAAGAGGAAGAGGCGAAATTATGATGTAAGTGCTTTGGCACAGAATTCTAGGTATAGTGAGCAGCAAGAGAGAAAGGGCATAGTCACTTAACAGGGCAGAGCTCCTTCAGGCAGAGACCGAGAACACAAGGACATGGGCGGCAAAAATATTGGGAAGTGTTTCTCTTTCTCTCTTTTGAAATAATTTTTTATTAGTTTTTTATAAAGAGAAATAGAAAGGTTAATATCATATGTCCTTTTTTGTCCAAAACTAAAGCATTGATCTGAATACAATTAGATCACAGAGAAAAAAGAGAAAAAAGGGAAAGAAGGAGAGAGAGAGAGAGAGAGAGAAATAAAGAAGTAATATACAAGAGATTAAAAGATAGACAGAGAGAAGAAAGTTCAGAAGTTAAAGAACTTCCAAGTTCTTCATCTGACCACTGTATATAAACAATATCCACTCCAGTATAACACCCTCCAAAGCCACTTTCTACAAACAAACCTAATCTTCCATCCTCAAATTCAAATGTCATCATTTCATTTTCTTTTTTGCGCAAAAGGTCTATGAAAGTTTTCCAATCTGCCATAAACATTAACAACGACTTTTCTCTGAATAAACATGTCAGTTTTGCCATCTCAGCTAAGTCCATTAATTTTAACAGCCATTCTTCCATTGTTAGAAGTGATGAGCCCTTCCATCTTTGTGCATGTAAGTCTCACTGCCAAAATCATATACTGAAGCAAAGTTCCATAGTTCTTTACTAACTGTATATCATTAAATCCCAGCAGGAAGAATTCTGGCTTCAGTTGAAAGTTAATCTTCAAAATTCTCCATATCAGTTTTGGGTTGTTTTTTTTAACATGTCCACCAAGCATGATAAAATATCCCTTCCCGTGTTTTACGTTTCCAACAAGTATTGGGCGTATTTTTATACATTCACTGTAGTGGGAAGTGTATTTTGAACTGCATGGGACCTCTTGGGAGACTTTTCGCTTTGACCAGCACAACAGTTCTCTACACCAGATCATCACCGTTGGCCTACCCAACAATTGCACCAAGAAAATATTTTTTACAGTAAAAATCAGTGTGCAGATAGCACCACCGTGGTCTTCCGAGGCATGAAACCAAAAGTAAATCACAACCTAACACACCACAATTTGTCTGTGAATTAACCTTAAATGTAGCCAAGAAGAATAATCATTTGGAGTTTAGTTCCACTAAATTCTCTCTTCCTCCCACCAAGCCCCCAGGGAAAGGCCACGACTAATTAAGTCAACCCCTTTCTCCTTGTCTAGCAAGAGACCCTTGTGAAAGGTAGGTCACTGCTATCCAGTCTAACTCTCCCCTCCCCCATATTTAAGGGAGGGGGACCCAAAGTACAATTTGCTTTTGCACCATGGTGTCTCCCAGGCACACATGGCTTGCTTCACATTCCCAATGGCACCTGCTGGTGAGCTTGAGGTAGACTGACTTTCATCCCACAAGGCTGTCTTGCAATACAGTGGTACCTCGGGTTAAGTACTTAATTCGTTCTGGAGGTCCGTTCTTAACCTGAAACTGTTCTTAACTTGAAGCACCACTTTAGCTAATGGGGCCTCCCGCTGCCGCCGCACCGCTGCTGCACGATTTCTGTTCTCATCCTGAAGCAAAGTTCTTAACCCGAGGTACTATTTCTGGGTTAGCGGAGTCTGTAACCTGAAGCATATGTAACCTGAGGTACCACTGTACAAGAGACTGCCCATGTGCAGTCTTGTGTTGCTTAAAAAACACCCCATAATGATATTATAGATTAAGCATTTTTTTAAAAAAAAAGATTGCTTAAATGAGGGACTTTTCTGCATCCCCAAGACCTCTGTCAGGGCAGCAATGCAAGAGCAGAATCCAGTTTCCAGAATCCAATTTCCAGCAAGACAACATCCCAAGAGATAAACAAGGTCTCTGAAAGTTCCTGGGCTTCATGACTTTGCTCAGGGAACTACGCCTTATTAAGTCTTACGATTGGTATAAATATGATCTGTGTTGTAAGGTGAGCTGTCTGCGTCTGATGAAGTGAGTTATAGTCCGTGGAAGCTCGCGACAGAATAAGTTTGCATCTTTTCAAAAGGTGCAGCAGGGCTCTTGGTGGTTTTTGTGATGATGGGCTTGCTGAACTGCCTCCTGGAATTAGGATCTGAATCGCGTTGCCTTCCTTCACATCCAAACACATTGGTTTTGTCACCGATGCGGCTTAATCGATGCAAACCTGAACTTGTGAGCGTCGGCTCCACAGGGCAGACAATGTCACAGAGATTCAGCGCTGGATTTTCCTTTGAAAAGAAGAAAGGCATTGACACGACGAGGGGAGTGAACGTGCCTGCGTGTCTGTGCACCCAGCTATATCCAATTCCCCATCCATTCCCACCACCCTTTATTTTAAGGGGGGGGGACATTATAGGGGCAGAGCCCTGCTAAGAAATGTATTCAGGATATCCGCTCAGTGCTTTTTTTGGTCTGGTTGCAAAACATCTTTATTTAGACAAACCACCTGAATTTTCCCTGGACAGAGCAACTTGTGTGTCAATCCCACGTTAGGAGCTCAAGCGTTGCTTTGTTTGCATTGATTCCCTGCTCATCCAACACTGCAGTAAGTGGTTTTGCATATTAACTAAGTGCACAGTAACCTTCCTTTACCTCCTCCCAGCCCCACCTCCTCCCACCCAGCCTCAGGAATCAACACTATTGCTCAGTCAGATACTTGGAGGAAGCTGCCAGGAGGTTGCTATGGCAACTGTTCTGCTTTCAGCAGCTGCTTCCCTGGTTCCAGGCGGGGGGGGGGGGGAGGAAAAGGGGAGGGAGGGAGACCTGGGGAGAACTAGGCGGCCTCCGATCAGAAGTTCAGATAAAGAGGGTCACTGTAATTTTCTGGCGCAGATTAAAAATAACGCAGCAGATGCAGGCGCTGGGAAGCAATAAAAACAACGTAGGTAACGCAAAAGGCCAGTCATTAA